TACTATACTTTCTATATTTCTGTCTTTCCAGCTCAAGAGTATTTGTATTTTGGTTGTGAGTCTGATTCCTGTAGACAGTCTTAATATCTATCTCAGACAGAAACAACAATTAACATGATTAAGGAACAGTGTGTGTAGACATACTGTGTTGTTGTCAGATACTCTCTTACACTCTTTTTTGTGGCCTACATTTGAAGCCTAGTGTCTGTGGTAGTTTTTGTTTGTAGAGGGGAAATGAAAATGCTTGAGCAGGTGATCCTAATAAAATCTTATCTGGATCTGTCATATGAGCTGCTGTTGAATTTTTGTTTGCATGAAAAAAGTAACCAGCCCAGTGGAATTACATTGTGTGCTTCTACTGTATAAATTACTGTATAGTTTTTATCTTTTACTTGCAAGAATATATATACATATTTAAATGAAATCACTTAATGTCCTCAAGGGTTGTGATTTGATTTTAGTTCATCATATTTGCCTCTGGACCCATAATCCATTCAGACGGTTATCCCTGCAAAAAAAAAACCCTTAACAACATCCTCGCTGCCACCCAGGGCGCTCTGAAACCAGGACAAAAGCTTGCTATTGTGCCTGCAGATGGGCATAATAAGAAATATTGCTGTGTGAAATACCCAGTTTGTGCTTGTGTAATCTCCCTCAGCAGCATCTTTATTAAAATATTCTGTCACTGCAGTGTGCTCTCGGTGTCTTAAGAAGAGACAGCTTCTGTTGAATGTCAGACTGCTTTGACAAATCACACTCGAGTGCGAGAGCCACACTGCTGCTTGTGTGCAGCGAAACACAGCTGATGGAAACACCTCAGCAGGACATCAAAATGGTCGCACTCAAAGAACAAAGTGAAAGAAAATAAAAGAGGTCAAGCTGCTAAGAACTTTACACTAAATGTAAATAAAAAGACTTCTCAATGTTTTATATCTGGAAGCTCAACGTCCTGAATGAAAAAGCGGCTTTTCTTTCAGCTGGGAATCTGTAGGTAGACGATGTTTGAAATACTGAGATGTAGCCAGCAGCCATACCAAGCTGGAAACAAAACTGGTAACAATCTGTCAGTCACCTGGCTGCAGAACTCAGTCTGGAGCCATTGAAGAAGAAAAAAACTCACTTTTGCCAGAAAAAGAAAATAAGTTTGTGAAGTTGTGATGGTAAAGCTACAGTTTGAATTGACTTTGTTGTATTTCTGGTAACAATCATGACTATAAAACCACATTTATCCAGTGCAACCTTGTGAGGAAAGGGCCATTCAGTAATGTACAACCTTTATGCAACTATAAGGAGGAACTATTAGTTATTAACACTCGCAATGCTTCTTGTCCAATTTCAAATAGTAACAGTGAGTGAAGTACTCTCATATGTAGCAGTACATTTTGTGCTTCCACACACAGTATGTATGATGAACAGTGCCTTTCTGTATAGGTTTGTGTAGTGTGGAATCATTTTGTTAGTTTAGTTAACACATTGGGTTGAACTATATGCTTTTACAGAACTAAACTAACACATGTCTACAGGAAATATCTTTTACTACTGATTTGCAACAGCAAATATGTTTGGAGAGAAACATAATGCTGCCAGGATTATGTTTTCTATCAATATAATAACGAAACATTAACAAAATTGTCTCCTCATAAACTCCAGATGTCACAGTGGATTCTCTCATTAGTGGACATCATCTCTCTGGAAGTTTCTATAGCTCAAGTCAGTGAGATGCAAAGGGAATTACAGCTGACACCCTGTCTAGGGACTGGACAGAGTTAAATTAACTTATATTTTTTGAAATAATAACTGTGACTATACACAAATGTTCATACCATTACCAAAATATATGGTCTACATTGTTCATTGGTCATTTTACCGGTGTAAAGGGAGGAGGGGACCTTCAAAGACCGTAAGAGCAAATAAGATCCCCTTGTCGGGCAGTTGATTAATGCTTGTATATTCATATTAAAATGACTCATCATATTTTTTATCAATATATCCATACACCTCAGTATAAAGTGTAAAAACTCTAAAATTTTCACTTACATGCAGGTTTTTTTTTTATGCGCAAATTGTAAATGCACATAAAAACAGGTGGATGGAAGTGCTGTATATTAGCCAAGTTAAGAGGATTTCCTCACAGAGTGCGAGCCAGAAACTGAGATTTGAAAGCTGCAAATCTAAGCACCTCGCCAAGTAACCACTGAGTCGTTGGTGTTTATCAATAATCCTATCAACCCCCCACAGGTATATTATAAGGTCATTGTGCAATATAGGACAGCATAAATCTACCTTCTTGTTATTTTAAAAGTTGAGGCAGACAGAATTCAGTGAAACACAGAACTGGTGGATGTGAACCGACGAACAGCAGACTATATTTTATATTTTCATACATATTATTTCTTTAAATTTTCCCACTCATACAGAAGCAAAGGTGAATGACTCACAGCAGCTCAAATGCACGTTCTGACTTAATTATTATGAGTATTATTGGTTTCGGCACAAGTAAAGAGCTCCATGTGGGTATACAAAGACACACATTAAAACCTGAGCCCTGATTGGCTGCAGAACATAGACATCTGGTTACATCAAGAGTCCAAGGGTGGCTGAAGAAAACATCTTGTGCACAGGATAAGAAGCTTGTTTCTGGAAACTGATTTAGAAGTCTGTAAATAGAGCTAATAGTCGTTTGGTGGCGTGACAAACTGTATTAGTTATTAGCCTGCTTGATGCATTAAATGTATTATTCCTACAGTGTGATTGGAGAGTTGCAGAGTATGGTGTTGTTTGTTGTTGTCTGTTTGCTCACATATTTGTTAGAGAACCAGTCCCCTAAACAATTAATGTGGCTTTTTTTGGATGCTGTCAGAATTGTTGTTTTACATTAATATTGTTTCTGAATGTTGGGGTAAACTATACATGAATATAACCTCAAATTGAAAAATGTGTAGCTATTAATACCATATAGAAATAACAATAATATATAACATGCCTTCCTGAATCCTGTATTATTACTTTAAATAGTTGGGGCACACACACACGCTACCATAAAATCATTTAACAAGGTGGATGATATCACATTAGTCTGGTATTATTAGTAACTATCAAGAAAAGACCAAAACCAACAATATGTGTTTCCATTTTTAAGTATTTTCTGGCTTCTTACAATGTCACTTAGCCCCAAGCCCTTTGGTTCCTACTGAAGATATACTTCTTTAAAAATAGGCTACAAATACAATTTCATTAAAAAAGTAATTCCCTTAAAATCTGGGTACTGTAGATTTTGAAAAACATTACTCAGACTGGAATAAATATTGCCTTTTTGGCAGACAATCTCAGCTGGTGTATTTGAGGCAGCAGTATTGTGTATGTGAGATTGAGTCACATTAAACTACAATGCCCAAGTTCAGGGTCACCCAGGGGGCACAAAGAAAAAAAGCCTCATTAAAATTGGGCTACACAATACTTATTACTATTTAAATCAATCAGCCGTAACATTATGAACATTGACAGGTGAAGTGAATAACACTTATTATCTGGTTATCATGGCACCTGTCAGTGGGTGGGGTATATTAGTCAGCAAATGAACATTTTGTCCTCAAAGTTGTTAGAAGCAGGAAAAATGGGCAGCGTGAGGATTTGAGCGACTTTGACAAGGTCCAGATTGTGATAGGTAGACGACTGGGTCAGAGCATCTACAAACTGCAGCTCTTGTGGGGTGTTCCCGGTCTGCAGTGGTCAGTACCTATCAAAAGTGGTTCAAGGAAGGAAAAGCAGTGAACCAGAGACAGGGTCATGGGTGGCTGAGGCTCACTGATGCATGTGGGTAGCGAAGGCTGACCCGTGTGGTCCGATCCAACAGACGAGCTACTGTAGCTGCTGAAACAGTTAATGCTGGTTCTGATAGAAAGGTGTCAGAACACATTGTTGCATATGGTGAGCACCAGCGTGCCAAGGTGGTTTTAATGTTATAGCTGATCTGTATATGTTACAAAGCATTGTTGGTTTTGGTCTTTTAATTCGATTTGTTAATAAACTATACAATATATCTGGTCTTATACTTTAAATGAGTTTAACTGCCACATAGCACAAAAATAACTCTTGATGAGATGTTGATCTGCACCACTGACTCAACGAATACATCTCTGGCCTTCAAAACTCCCTCCCAACAAGAACCCAGTCTACCCAGTTCGGACACTGTTTCCACAGTTACCACAGTCCCAAACCACTGAAGCAGTACTGTTTCTGCCACTATTCTGCAGAGATATGTTAAGTATAATATACAATCTTCCTTGTGCTGCTGAGTGAAATACCTCAGCTGAAGATGTGGATGTCCCCCAGCACACACACACACACACACACACACACACACACACACACACACACACACACACACACACACACACACACACACACACACACAAACCTTCCTCATGCCACAACCCTCTGCCCTCTTCTCCATCCTTCCCTCTTTACATGTGAAGCACTCTTTGCTCTCGCTCACCGCTCGCTAAGCTCAGCTAAGTGTTGCTTTGAGATTAATACATGGGAGGCCCACTCTGCCAGATGATGTAATAATCGTGGTGGTTTGCTGTTGCCTGGATACAGTGAGACAGTAGAGCGAACACTCAGCCAGGTCTTGCTGTCTCTGTCACCAAGACCCTCAGGACCGTTCAAGTCACTCAGAACAAAAGTGTTTTGGGCTAGCTGCTGTTCACTTTAGGAGCTAGTATGTCCACACACAATATATATATATATATACAGCACATATATTTAAATGTAACCTCTGCAAGTGTCTGCCTCAAACACATTACATCTAAAAGCTTCAAACATTTAATGGCTCCATAGATGCTCACCGTCTAGCCTGTTAAAAAATGAGATTTTCTCATTATATCATTTTCTTGAACACACCCTGGAGTGTTGTTTGCGAAACTTGTTATGCCTCATCTTTGTAAATAACATTAGTGCTTTGAGGATGCAAAATCTCCACTAGCAACAAACTCACTCACCCTTCAGACATCTCCTCCTCCTCCTCCTCCTGTATTCGTCTCCTTCGTCTTCAGCTCTTCACTCGCACAGACGTCCCACAGCTAGACAGGGAAACTCCAATAGCCTGCTGAGATGCAGGTCACTATGTTTGTGTGTGTGTGTGTGTGTATACTAAGGAGGGAGGTGGTGACTAAGCCTCTGCTTCTGTAACAGTGTTGCATTAAGTGCATCTCCGTTCTGTTTTTAGCCCAACAGAATCAAATTCAATCCGCTGGTTGCTATAGCAATAAAGTTTTCAACACTGAAACCTTTTGAGGCTTTAAACTGCATAAATGTGGTGTGATAGTCGTGTTTAGTCTTCATTAGCATGAAGATGGAGTCTTGAAATCTGAGATGGATGACAACAGAAAAAGGGCCATGTCTCAGTCTGATTCCTTGTCTGTACGTTCATTTTAAATATGGATCAATGAAAATGTTCTTACTCTGTCAATTTAACCAACCAGGACTGATGGCAGATAATATGACTCACAACTGATATAATTAAACGTGGCACACACTGTATTGTGGAGGGCCTGACTTTTGGACGCCGGGATGTTCATCTCCACGCTAAGCGAGGGAAACCACCTCTGTAGCAACAAAAAAGAAAACAACTAATTTGATCATGGAAACGTGTCCATGATAAAACCAGAGAGCAGCAAATAGCAGCATCTCCACACGCCTTTTTTTGACAAACGACAGCCATCTTCTCCGTCAGATGAGTAATGATAGACCATCATTTTGCCACCATCTGCTGCTCTGGTGCCAGTGCTCTGAGAGAGACTGGCTGTGACCTTGGGGGGAGGCCGGGCTGGCTGGGTCTGTCTGCATGACATGGACTCTTGCTGCCAGCTGTCCATTAGTTCTGGAGAAACACTGCGTGATGAGTCAGTGATGCCTTGCCTGTGCTGCATCTACTGTAGATTTGGCTGCTAGATTGGCTATAATCATGCATTTTTGTTGCTAAAAAAGCATTTCAAGTGGTTTTCTGCCTCATTAATTGGTGTGTGGCACAGAAAACAAGAGATGGAGCAGATTAGCTGTGATGTAGAAATAGCATGGTCGATGGCTCGGTCCTCCCAGCCTCCAGGAGACTCTTAAAAGCCATTTTAAATGTGACGGCAGTAAAGTCTGACATTTTTGACACTGTCATGTTAAGAGAAGCTGTGCTAGTTTCCAAACTAAAAGTAGAACCTGTCACACTTACATTTTTCATTTCCCTCACACACCAAAGACTAAAACCTTCATTGCGAACTGCCACCACAGCTGAAGAAGTTATACAGCAGATGGGTGAGACGTCTCATTTCACATTTTAAAATCATGCAGCTCCGACTGCCAGCACGGCTCTTAAAATGCCACACAGGTTGTATCTGATTGGTCACACAAGGACTGCATTCTGCCTCGAAACACTGGAGGTGCAATTAAGTCTGGAATGTTTTTCAAAGATGGACAGCGCAGAGGGACGGTAACTAATCTAGCTACCTCGATTGGACCAGTAGGAACTCAGACAGCGCTGGCAGAACATTACTCCTCCTGGACAAGGCTCTGCAAAAGCCTCTCCCCTCTGATCCTATTCCCTTTCTCTTCAGCTATGGTGTCCTGAGCTTGACACAAACAATAAAGTCACATCTGCACAATAGGGATGAGGGAGGTAGCTAATTACAGCAGAAAACAGAAATGACCACAAAAAAATGCTAAATACAGGAATAATAAAACTGCTGTGACAGATGCTTCTGCTTGAATTATTAGCCTGCGTAGCTGCGTTGCGATGGTGCTCACTTAGTAATGGTTGAGCAGTTAAAGAGCTAGTATAGTCATGGGAATTAGGGGTAAAGAGCACATATTTGTTTCAGCTTCCCTCTCAAATGGTAGATATGTTGTCATAAGTCAGCTGAATGTCACCTCGAAAGATGACATTTGCTTCTGATCACTGTGAGTATTTGAGCAAACTATATATAAACTATATATGTCTATTCTCGCATTTGTGAGCAGGCGTATGGGCCTATGGTTGTATGTACAGTCTGTGTATACGTATGACTGCGTGTGTTTTGATTTATTTACTGCCTAGGGTAAAAGTCTTAGTGCCCAATGGGACATTTTAAACTGCAGAAGCAGTTTTTTAGGCAGTCACGCTCATGGCAGTATTGATACTCCAAGCCCACACAAACAGTTACATGTCATCCTTTTCCACTTTTCCTCTCCTTTTTTCCTCCTCGCTGTACTGTCTAATAGAGCAGAAGCACCTTAAAAACAATTGGTGTCACCTTAGCAAACAGCTGCATTACATCTTTGGGTGTCTTGAGTAATCCCAGTGTCCATCGCTGCTGTCTGTGAGCTTCCACTGTGTCTATTTTTTCCTTCTCAAGGGGGGGTGGGGGTGGGGGGGGCTGCTCAGCTGACAGCCGAGGTCATCGCACTTGTTTTTATCTCGGCTGGTGCTGTCACAGGGTTGCACTTTCAAAAAATCCTCAAGACGAGGCTTGTAGAGAGTAACTAAGAGCAAAAAGCTAAAAAGACCGTTGGGTTGTCCTTTGAGGTACCAGGCAATCAAATCCCAAACTTTTAAATCCAGAAGGAGATGCTGTTTGATGTTTCAGGGAGAAAAAAAAAATGTAATGCTTCTGACTAATCCTAATACCAGGATGGAGAGCATGCATGAAATGTGGGTGTCACAAGTTAAAGGCAGAATGAATGAAGACAGTACAGTGAAGTGTGTTTGATCATAAATGTCTGTGTCACCCTTTATGGCACATTTAGCATGTTCTTACGGCTCATTAATGTGCCAGACAGCTCAGTGAACACTGCAGCAGCATGTGGTTTAATTATCAGGAGGAACAGGATAATCTGTCAAGATGACTGATTTGGACATGTGCACCTCTTTCTTGATATATTTGGTATTTGGAAGCCGTAAAATGTAATGTATGGCTCTAATATGCTTTGAGTTGTATTTATCTCTTTATCTCTTCTAATTTATGGGTACTTCTTTCTCCTCTTAAGATAAGTGCAAAGTTGTAAGTGAGCCCTACCTTGCAAACCATCTCCCACTGACATATCTGGTGTTGCCTGGCAACCACTTAGTGTTTTTGTGAAGGATACCCTTATATCCGTATTTAAAAAAAGGCACGGTGAAGGCTAAGTTCCTTGAACTCCAACTGTGGGTGTTTGAATACTGAATACATTATGTTTCTCACCAAACACCAGGAGGGGCATCGCAGTCCAATTCTTGAGCCAACGTCTCTGCCCCAGAGTTTTCAAGAAGCCTGCAAACTTTTTTTTTCCTCAGCGGCTGCAGAGAAAAAGTAAAAGTACAGCAAGAGATTACACACAGAGTTATAGATAAACTTTCTGTATGAGATCAATAGGCTAGGATGCCTTGAGGGTGGTTTGGAGATGGAGCGTATAGTTAAGTGGAAACAAATAAATGCTGTGCTGAAAGGCTACTTGCTGTCGTTCTTTTTAAAAAGCACCCAGACATTATACAGTTGAGACAAAATAAATGGGGTATATTGGTTCCCTGTGTTATTTTGTTATATGACTGAGCTATGACTCACTCCCTCTCCTGCTATTCTTGTCACTGAAACTTCCTAAAAGACTCTACAGGTACATTTAATGGGAATTAATCCCACAGAAGGTTTACTTTAGGGTGTAGCCTCACTGATACCAGATTTGTAAGGTTTGACAATGATATTAATATTTGATAAGTCTCCCTAAAATGTGTTTTTGAAAGAATTGTGACTAAGACATGTAAAGTGTGAGACATGTAAACTTGTCAGTGCTCTCTAGTGGACCGACTGTAATGAAAACACTGAATTAATTAACATTTCTGTAGCGCAAGTTATTGATTTGCTGTCATATACACCAATATTTACACTTATCTATGATAAGCTAATATCAGCTGATATGTTGCTGGTCTTCTGGGAAGAAGACATTGCATGTTTTGCTACATAATATAAAGATGACACTTAAATCTATTTTTGGGGGGCTTTTTGCCTTTATTAGATAGGACAGCTGAAGATACACAGGGAAGGGGGAGAGGGAGGGGATGACACGCAGCAAAGGGCCCCAGGTCAGAGGTGAACACGGGGTACATGCGGGCACCAGAGGTGATACATTTTACAGTACATTAAATGACATAACATTTTGTTCAATACAAGATTATTGTTTGTACCAAGTGTGTTAAACAATTCACAAATTAATATTCTTTTTGAAAGAAATACCATACTTAGCAAGTCTTATTTATCCTTTTAATCTTTAATTGTAACACTTATATATATATATATATATATATATATATATGTATATGTATATATATATGTATATGTATGTATATGTATGTATATGTATATATATATATATAATAATCATAATTATATACTTAATTAATACTTAACTAATGCATGACTCATCCTTATTTAATGCATTAATTAATGATCATCAGTTAAGAAATGTTAATGAACACATTCATTGATATGCAACCAAATTAGCAGGATTCCAGTTACATACGTCTATTTCAGGGCCGTGCGTTTGCTCAGACACTCTGATGAATAAATCCAGTGGTATTTCTGACACATTTACAACATAATGGACCAATTAGGAGGAGAATGATCATACATGTTTAAGCTCCACTGATTTGAATAACCCAAAACACAATTAGAAAAACAATGTATGCCCCTCCACTATGTTGTAAATGTGTCAAAAAATACCATTGGGTCTATTTTCATAGAAATATGAAGCTATTTTGTTCTTAATCAGAGAGAGAGTGAGAAACAGCAGATACTTTATGTAAGAGCAATCCATCTAATTTGTCACATATCAATTAATGTATGAAGTAACTATGATTTAACATTCCTTAACTAATGATCTGTTAACTAATAAGTCATAGTGACTTGATCGTTCCTTGGTGGTGAGCAACATGAATTCATGACACATCCTGCATCCATTCATGCATTAATACATTACGAGTCATGTATTAGTTATGATTTGTTCCCTCATTATAATGTTTTACCCCTTAATTTTATTTTAATTTTTAAAAGTAAAAGGTTATTAGTTGTTGGGTCACTACCTCTACCCACTGACTCACAGTCATTGTTGAAAAC